AAGTGGATAATATTGTGTAATGGATAACACTGGACATAATTTTCTTAAAAACGCATTAACTCATTCTTCTTTGATCACTGTATTTACGTATGGTTTAAAAATGGTTTTGACGAGACTATCTTCAGCAGACATCCTGAAAATGCAGATGCTTTGTTGATCTGACTCCTTACGTCCTTTACTGGGCCAAAATTTAACTTGAAAAAATAATTTTATTGCCGTTTGGACTTCCAATTCGGACGTCGTTGTCAAAATATAAAATATTAATTTATTTTTGTATTTTGACAACTACGTCTGAATTGGAAGTCGAAACGTTAATAAAATTATTGAAGTTTTACTTCTATACGCACGGTCGGCGTTGGAAATTTGCACGCGAGTGAATCTGTGAAACCATTACATATATATATATATATATATATATATATATATATATATATATATATATATATATATATATATATATATATATATATATACAAATAAAACAGTTTATTAGGGTTGCAGTCAGAATATTGGCCGGGATGTTAAAAAAACACTCTTTTGACTTTTTTGTCGAGCTTTCGGAATGGTTTTATTCCTTTTTCAAGACACTGCAATAAGACAAAAATGTAAATATTTAAAAAATATCACAATTCTTCAGTGTAACTTACTAGTCGTTGAGATTATTTATATAAGCATTTACACTCAACATTTATAACACACATTAAAACATTAAAATATACAATTATGGACACAATACATTATAAAATTTTTAAAATTTATTGTAAAAATAGTAGGTAAAACTTAGTTGATAGCATGTTTTACTTGTGTATATTAACTCATGCAGAGAATGGAAAGTAAACACTGTAATTAACATGTAATTAGGTGTAATTGATGTTATCTTTCTTTTTAGGTGAACTATGCTTTTAACCTGTCTTAATGGTATGCAACATATTATACATAGAGGTGTAATTTATGTACAGGTAAATTTTTATTTTATTTTTGGTGTTTTTTCTAGTAAATAACAATAAATGTTGCTTAATTTGTCTATGTCTGACCTTTTGTTAATGCAAGATGTGCTAGATTTTATGAAACACATTTCCAAAAAACACGTTTTGAAAGGTTCTTTTCTTTTGCCAAAATACAGGAATCATCGAAATTGAATTCATGTTTCAAAGTTAGTGCATGTTCTGTCAATGCACATGCATTGATTTTTTTGGTTTTTATATCACTACGATGTGATATCACCCTGCTGTGAAAATTACGAGATGATTCTCCTATGTAAATTTTATTACAATTAGTACACGGTATAGAATAAACAACATTCGATGACTCCTGTATTGTGAAAGGATCTTTTGTTTTTGTGTAAAGCTTCGATACTGTTTTCACATTTTTGGTTGTAATTTTTAAGCCACTAATATTTTTAAAGATGTTCATTAGCTTAGGTGTCAAAAATGGAATGTAAGGTAGGCAACCATAAGTTATTTTAGATGGTAATATTGATGCGTTATGTGTCAATGTAATTTGTCGGATCTCATTGTTATGAAAATTTTGGTTGACAGAAACTTGTGAAGGAAAAGGAGAACCGAAAATGAGTTTATTTAACAGTCCTATGGGGTAAGAATTCTCTTGTAGTATGGATCTCAACTTTTTTAGTCCCTTGTTCGTCTAATAAACTGTTTTATTTGTTTATATCGACAGTCAATAATATCCAGTATTTCTTATATATATATATATATATATATATATATATATATATATATATATATTTAATATATTTATAATATATATATATATATATATATATATATATATATAATATTGTATATATAATATAATATATATTAATGTTATTATTTATGTGATATGTTTTGTATTATTTATTAAATGTTGATAATTATTTTAGGGTTTTGTATTTCAAAATAATCACTGTATGACAGACAACTGTCAATTTTGAAATCCGTTAGTATCATGTCTAATTGACAAATCTTTTACGTATTTGGTTCATATACTGGTGTACGTGAGTTCGAATCCCAATATCAATTTTATTTTTTTATTTTTGAAATATTTAAAAACCTCACGTTAATGTTATTAAATATATGTAATATACACAAAAATGCTAAATTTTAAAATACAATAAAAATTTACAACATAATCCGAGTTGTTGGTTTTTTATTTTTATCTTCGTAAAGTAAGTTATGTATATTGGCAGTTTTAAATACTTATGAATATTGCATTTTAATTTGTATTGTATTATTTAATTGCATTATTTTGCAGTGTATTGTAATTTTTATATTAATAACAAAATAAACAATGAATTTTACTGCAAGTATATGTAAAAATTTTTTTTTGCATTCAACTCCTTTTTTACATATATGAAAATAAAAATATATATTTTCATTAAAATATTGATACAATCTTTGGTACAATATTAATCCAATCCCTATAGCATTAAATATGAAATATTGTGCAGATTGACTCACATATAAATTTGTAACGGCGAATGCGTGTACAGAAGTACACTTCTAGAACTTCTACCGGCAGTCCCACTGGACTGCCACACCCGTTTTTTTTCAAGTTAAATTGTGGCTTATATTATTAGAATAGTTGATATTCGTTTAATTTATTAAAAAATTATTGAAATTGTTAAAAATAAGAAAGATGAAGAGAATTTTTTTTATTTAAATTTGTCGCTAAAAATCACCATAAAATATAAAAAGCTTCTCGAGACTATTAAAAAACTTTTTCCATTCATTTACGGTGATTTTAAGATTTGGTTTTACTGTAAAAGCATGTAAAGCTTTACATGCTTTTACAGTACTAAACATTGCTAAACATAAATTTAGTCCTTAAAACGTGACCTTCAAAGTTGGTAACTTTCAACATTTATGAATTAAGTATTAAACATTATGGAAGTGTTGGAATATGCGCATGTCTAATCCAACGTAAAAAATTAAAAAACCGTTCCTCATCCCATTCCTTATCACGCTTTCTATTTATGGGTGTTACACTATACCTTCTTACTCTTCTTTGCTTGCTAAGAACTCTGGCAGATATAGTCGCTACAATTGTTAAATAAAGTGGGACTGCTGCCATGGCCAAAGCAACTTTTCTATTAATCTTCATATTTATTTAAAATTATTTCACTTTTCTATGAATCTAAAGACCAGAAAAAATTCTTTAAGATCTATAAAAATTTGGTTAGGTTTGTATTTTCTGAAGTAGTTTTTAAATATTATGGTTAGGTATTATGTCTAGTTATAAATCAATCTTATATCTTGTGAATTATGATTGTGGTTAAAGTTATGTTTATGACTGATTATGTACTATGTCCGTTTATAAACCTGGCTTAATAGTAATGCCGTAAGAGCTTCGAAATTAACGTTTTTATATGACGTGTACAATGTATTAAAAACCATTGAGATTTAAAACTTGCGCAATACCGTTGATATTTTAAATACCGTTGAAAAATATAAACATTGAATTGTAATATTGTTTTTTATTTATTAAACCTTTTGTTTTTGTAATATTAACCTTAAGCCGCATTTTTTATTTTAATAAATAATAGTAGTAGGCTCAGAAAGTTTTAATACGGCTCTGTAAGGTTTACCAAAGGAGCGTGCTTGCTCCGCCGCATCTACCACTGGTGAATTATCAATTTCGTACTTTGCCGGCATTACTTCCTAAGATCAAAGTGCCGACAAACGAGTGGTTCTACTGTGGAACCTCTTAAGGTGGGTACACATATGCTCCGAATGCCGTCTCGAACCCCGTCGCGTACAGCGACGCGATCAACAAAAGTTCGCGACGTTGTTACAGGGGGCATTGAAATAAGTAACGAACCGAACACCGCTCCGTACTTTGTACCAAACATTTTAGCGTTCCAGCAGTAATTGAGTTGAATTCGCATGTGCAAGATGGATGTTGCTGCAGCAGCCTACATTCTTATGCATTATTTAGTTAATAAAACGAAAAATATTCGTGAAAGGAGATGGTCCATTCCATTTTGATGCACTCAACTTTAAAAATACCGTCAACCTTCAAAATAATAGACTGACTATTTTGAATGACTGGAGATTCGATAAAAGATTCGCAAGCTAGTCCAAACATGAATTCGCGGTGTACATTGCCGCGCTCAAATTTCTTTTGATGCGTAGGTATTTTACCGACAACCGATGGATCGCTTCGATGTACGATGTTGACGCGTCGAGGTACGGTACGCGGTTGCATGACTCCGTCCACACTTAAGAACGCGACGGGGTTCGAAACGGCATTCGGAGCATATGTGTACCCACCTTTATACTGTGCGTATGGTCAATGGTCATTTAAATCGAAAAAGGTTTCTTGTTCCTGTAACTTCCGCTTAGCGCAGTTACCGGGAAATAAATAGTTTGTTTTGTTAGCATGGGGTGGCATGCCGCATTGGAACCGTCGATGTACAATAGTAAAAATGAGTCATCATGGCACACAACGGGTTCAGACTTTATGACAATAGAAATGGCTTTATTGTTCGGGTTATCGGAATAACAGGCACCCTGTAGTTTTAAACTGTTAAAGCATTGTTTGAAAAAATTCTTTTTCAGACGAAATTGACGCAACCGAAACTGACTGATTTTTGGATTATCAAGAAATGAACAATACTCTATACAACTATTTGTAAGTTAGTGTTATTAGTTTCATGTTTTTTCAATTATAACGGAGTTTATCTGTAAGTATACCGTATTTTATTAATTTTTACCATTTTTTCCGGCTAACTCGGATTTTCGACAACCCGGATCGGCCTCGGTCCCGATTAATCCGAGTTATCGAGGTTCCACTGTACATAAGGTAGGTAGGTACTAGGTACATTTATACTTCTTGGGTTATTTTTACGTACTCTGAACGAACCCCCTATTTGTTGGAAGTTTTTGTGAATGTTGCGTAAATAATTCCTCTATGCAATGGCGCATGTTTTTGAAACAGTTTGTATAATTTTAAAACAGAAGTAAATACAGAGGTATAAAGTATTTATTTTTGTTTTATAGATCTGTCACCAGTGTCATCCACCGAAAAGGAACCCAATAAAGATGAGGCCAGCCTGGATCCAGTGGGGAATAATTGGGATACAGGCGATCTCGCAGAAGTCGCAGAAGTAATAACAGATTCAGATACTCTTATATCAAGATCAAGCGATCCAGCACAAATAACAATTAACTCGAAGACGATTGACCTAATAATAACAGATCCGATTGTGCAAAATTTAAACAGTTTTGACTTTGAAAGCTCAAAAAGGGTATATGACGGATCACAATCACGCTACGCATCAAAAAAAATATTTTTCTCGAAACTTCGAAATGGTGAAAAGGTTCGACGAGAGTGGCTCCTATATTCTGTTTCGAAAAAGTGTGTTTTTTGTTTACCGTGTATGTTATTTAATGAAGATCGTACAAAATCTTTTGTTAAAGGATTTAACGATTGGAAAAATGTAAATAGAATTGAAATGCACGAATCTTCAGAAGAACATTTAAATAACACCAAAACGTTCGTAACTCGGTCTAATTCTTTGGGCAAAATCGATACAGGAATTCACAGACAATTTTTAGATGAAAAGAAATACTGGATTGAAATTCTTCGTCGAGTATTGTCCACAATAAAATTTTTAGCAAGCCGTGGTTTAGCGTTTAGGGGTACAACAGAGAAGTTCGGGAAAAATGACAACGGCAATTATTTAGGCCTTTTAGAGTTAATAGCCCAGTTTGATCCATTCCTGGATAATCACATACAAAAGTTTGGAAATCCAGGACGTGGAAATGTTTCATATTTGTCATCTACTATTTGTAACGAGTTTATTCACGTTATCGCTCGACATATTCGTGATTTTATTAGCTTCGAAGCGAAAACAGCGAAATATTTTTCCATTTGCGTCGATTCAACACCTGATGTGAGTCACTCGGACCAGCTTACTTTTATTCTTAGATATGTGTTATGTGACGGCTCTCCTACTGAGCGTTTTATTACATTTATAAGTAATATAGGCCATAAGACAGTTGACATGGAAACTGCAGTTTTAAAAATTTTAACCGAACTAAAATTAGATCTTCAAGATTGTAGAGGGCAGTCATATGACAATGCTAGTAACATGTCTGGTCAATATTCAGGTTTGCAGGCTCTTATTAAAAAAAGAAATTCTCTAGCATTATTTATCCCCTGTGCAGCACATTCACTTAATTTAGTAGGAACTTGTGCAGCTGAATGTTGCAATATGGCCACTTCCTTTTTTATGTTTGTAGAAGAAGTATATAACTTTTTCTCAGCATCCACGCATAGGTGGCAAATAATGATAAGAGAATTAAGTAACGTTTCCAATGCGCGCGTTCCTAAAAAGTTATCCGTTACTCGATGGTCTGCTCGTGCGGATTCTTGTAAAGCAATTACTTTAGGCTTCTCTGCATTTAAAAACGCTTTAATACTTATTGCAAATGATGTTACACAACCAAATAAAAGTAGAGCAGAAGCAAATGGACTTAAAAGTCGTTTCGAAGAATTGGAAATGGGAATTTTATTACAACTATGGACTGATATTTTAACGGAGTTTGATAAAGTTAGTAAATCTTTACAGGCCAGAGATGTCGATGTTTCATTAGCAGTAAATTTATACACATCGCTAGTTGGATTTATCGCACAACAACGCGAACGTTTTTCGTATTATGAAGAATGTGGCAAAGCTCTTACAAACAGTTTAAAGTATAAATTCGACAATAGACGAAAAAAAGGTAGAAAAATGCACTTTGGTGAAAATAAAGAGGGTGAAGTTGAATTCAGTGGTCGAAATAATATGCTTGTAAATACTTTTTATGTAATTATAGATAACATTGCTGAAGAATTAAAGAGACGTCAAAGTGCTTACGTTGATATTTCAGACATGTTTGGGTTTTTATATTTAGGTAGTTATTCAGATAATGATATTAAAATAAAAGCAAATATTCTTCAGGAGCACTATCCAAACGATTTAGACCTAAGTTTAGGAGACGAGTGTATTCGATTTAAATATTTTCTTGGAGAAATATTTTCAGATATTATCAGTCCAAGGGACATGTTACAATTTATAAGAGAAAAAAAAATAACATCTAGTTTTCCAAACATAGACGTTGATCTAAGAATATTTTTATCTATGGCAGTTACCAACTGCTCTGGCGAAAGATCATTTTCAACCTTAGAAAGGGTAAAGAATCATAAAAGAAATTCATTAGGTGATGAAAAAACTAATGATCTTTCATTGCTGGCTATACAAAATGAGTTATTTAATAAAATTCCCATTGACAATATAATTGAAAGCTTTGCTGCATTAAAATCAAGAAAACGAACATTTACTTAATGCATGCTACGATTGCTACGTAACCAAGTCCGTGACTGTATTAATTTTTATACATGTTTTTCTTTGTTTTCATTGAAAATGTTCCTTTGTTTGGTACCTACATATTTTTTTCTTTACCTATAAAAATGGTATTTCTTAGTTTTTTCATATAAAATATATTTAAAAAACAACTATTTTGACTTTCTTTAAAAATGTGAGAGAAAACAAGACCTAGCAAGGAAGGGGGGGGGCCTCAGTCGCTTTTAGCCTAAGGCCCATCGTACCCTTAATCCTGCCCTGTTAGTGCATGTATTCATTTGCCATTAATACATTTAATATGCTATATCCAAATTAGTAATAATATTTATATTTTAAAATACTTTGTAGAAATATATTGTAGAAATAGAAATGCAAGGACCCTCCACATCCAAAGCACAGGACAGGCAGGCAGACTTGCTTCATTGGACTAGTGGTATGTATTATACTATATTAATTTTACTTATGTTTAAGATAAACGTTTTTTAATTTGTATTATGTTCAGTTGTCAATACTGCATGTAATATGTTAAATAAAAATTAGCCAATTAGTATTAATATTTTGGAATGGTTATTCAACTTTAAAAATATTTTTTATTTCAGAAGAATCCAGAACTGGCACTGAACAAGATCAACCAGAAGTATTGGAAATACTAATTCCAAACCAAGGTAAGATATTATATTAATTTAGTATTTATTTACTATAATTTGGTTTATTTTTTAGAAGTATCTTTTGTGAGTCCACACTGCAGTTCACCAAAACATCAAGATAATAAGCAGTGTGACCCTGGTAATTTATATTTTGTTATATTGTAAACAAGTTGGTTTAAAATATTTCATTTACAGATTCGATTATTGGACCAGATGATTGGTCGGCCTATGCCCCCAAAATGTTAAAGAAGAAAAAAGCAGAACCGCTTCGTTTAGGTAATACATAAGGTAAATGTGGGTATAGTTGACAGTGTACCAGTAGTTGACACCATTGATTTTGATTTCATTTTAAAACAATTTGCTGTATATTACAAAGCTCCAGGCACCAGATAATTGAAGCCTGTGGTTTCAATTTACTTATGTGTGAAGTTGGCAACATTAATGTCAGCCATTTTGAAATGGTGTCACTGATGGTAAAGCATGTTACACAGACTATTAATTTTTTGAGAAATTTAAGCAACAAATAAGTAGGTAAGTAAATTTTTTTATATGAATAAACTTAGTTAATTTTAGTGTTATTAAATTCTAATAATTTTAATAGTGTGGGAGGTTGTTATTTAACTGTTTTTTTCCTTTTGAAAATCTTCTAGTGGTTAACCTTAAAATTATTTGTGGTGTGTCAACTACTAAAGCAAATTTTAGCCATTACACCAATACTTGACACCAGTGTCAACTACTGGATATGACACACAGATCTAGGCAAAGTAGATATCTGTTCGTTTTAGTTAGTAATCAGCATTTTTGTATTTTTATTATTATTCTGCCATTATCCGAACCAGTAGTTGACATAGCATGTCAACTATTGGAACATAATATGTCAACTATAGCATCACGGTTTGTTTTTTTGTAGGTAAAAATGCCTCCTGTGAAAGGGAAAATGTTAGCTTATCCTGAAGAAGCTATGACAGCTGCAATAGAGGATGTTCGCCTTGGGATGCCAGTAGCCGCTGCAGCAAAAATACATCAGATTCCCAGAATAACTCTTATGTACAAGGTGAAAGGAAAAACTCCTATCTCTAGAAGAATGGGGCCAAAAACTATTCTGACATCCTATGAAGAAAACTTGCTTGTACAATGGATACTAAAATCAGCAGAAGCAAAATTTCCAGTAACAAAAAGACAGCTGCTGGATAGTGTACAAATTATTATAAAACGAATGAAAAGAGACACTCCATTTGTTGCTGACCGCCCTGGCCGTGCATGGTATGAAAGTTTTTTGAGAAGACATCCTTGTCTAAAACAACGAATAGCACAAAATTTAACAGCTTCCAGAGCCTTAGTAACTAAGCACGGCATCAAAAATTGGTTTGATGAAATAACAAATTATCTGTTAAACAATGATCAACTTCAGATACTTCAAAATCCTTCACGCGTGTTCAATGCAGATGAGACCGCATTATTTCTGAACCCAAAAGGCGAAAAGGTACTGGTTCGTAAAGGTGAAAAAAATGTTTACCAACAGGTTAATGCTGATGAAAAAGAATGCATGACTGTTTTGATAACTGCAAACGCTAATGGCAATTTTGCTCCTGCTATGATTGTCTATAAATATAAAAAAATCCCTGCAGAGGTTGCCTATAGAGTGCCAAAAGGTTGGTCGATGGGCAAATCTGATAGTGGCTGGATGAATGGAGAGCTATTCTTCGAATATGTAGCAAACATCTTTCATCCTTGGCTACAAACACAAAACATACAGACACCCGTTGTATTATTTATTGACGGTCATACTAGTCATTTAACACTGCATACCAGTGAATTTTGCAGTAAAAATGGAATAATACTCATAGCATTACACCCCAATTCAACTCATATTCTCCAGCCACTTGACATAGGATTTTTTAAGCCTATGAAAACAAGGTGGAAAGCAATAGTTCACCAATGGCGTGTAGAAAATATTCAATCACCTAATTTAAGAAAAGCTGATTTTGCACCTCTCGTATATAAAACTCTTGAAAATTTGGAGAAACAAATCATGAAAAATGCCTTCAGAAAAAGTGGTTTAATGCCTTGGGATAAGAATGCTATAGACTACTCAAAAGTGAAAGACAATCATCACGAAAATCAAAATGACTTCGAAGATCCTTCAATACAGTCAAGAACTAAAACATTGAATGATGAAGATGGTCTTGCTTTTCTGGAAAAGGAAATAGGTGAGGAAAAAGTGAGGGTATTTCAAAATTGTCATGAAGATTGGAATGGTAGAGAACAAGACAAATCTCTATTCCTTATGTGGAAAAATGTAACCAGTAGACTTTAAGTGATTCCAACAGCACAAAATATAGATGAAAATCACATACTCGAAAATTCTATAGTACCAACAACTGAAGATGCAGCAATGGCTTGTTCCAGTTCCAGTAATGCCAGTAGATTTCATGTGATTCCAACTGTTTTGGCCTGAAGAGAAACCTTGTATGTTGAAAAGACAGCCAAAGGAAAAACTCCCTTCTGTAGTAAGCTCTGATTCGTATCAGCAGTATTTAAGAAACAAAGAAAAACAAAAGGAAGAAAAGGAAAGGCAGAAAATAAACGCGGCAGAAAACAGAAAACTAAAAAAAGCAGAGACAGAGGCATTAAAAGTTAAAAAAAAAGAACAAAGAAAAAAGAAGAAGGTTGAAAGTTCTAGCAGTGATTCGGAGGAAGAATGGGTGGAATCTGGTTCCTCCACAAATGATGTTAGTTTTGAGCTAACAACAAGTGACATAGAGTTAAACCCTGAGCTACTATTCAATAACGAAAAATTAATAAAAAAATTCATCATTAATGATTTTGTGCTTGTTAAGTTTTTGGGTAAAAAAATGAACAAATATTTTGTTGGCCAAATAATCAATATTTCTGATGATGTGGAAGATTCAGATAATACCGATTATGAGATCTCCTTCCTCAAACATGAAGAGGATGGAAAATTTAAGTGGCCTACTGTAGAAGACAAATCACACATTTCGACAAGTGATATAATATTAAAGTTACCGCAATCTCAGTTAGATAGAAGAGAACGAATATATTTTAACTTTGACTTTAGCGAATATAATATGCAGACTTAGTGTGCTTTGTGTTATATTATTCTTCATAGTTTTATATTAGTTTAAGTTTTCAATGTTAGGAAATAATAAATCATAACAATTTACTCTTCTTAAAAATGTATTTGAAATTTAATAAACATATTTATTTATATGGCTAATAATGTGTCTAAATGAATAACGTTAACATACTGAATTTTGAAAAATATAATTTCTATTATGTCATGTCAACTACTACAACTTTATGTGTCATTTATTGGAACACTTGTTGTCAACTATTGAACCCTATGTACTTATTTTCTAAACAACTAATAAAAAAAAATTCAATTATAACTAATGATATCTGTGAGCTCTAGAAGAAAGTATTAGGTCGGAAGAATTTCTTGGTAAAAAATTAACACGCATATTGAAATTTTCTTTAAATTATATGTATTTTAAGTTATGTAGTTTCTTAAAGTGTCAATTACTCCCACATTTACCTTAAATATTTTTAAACTTTAGTTTTAATAAGTAATATTAATTAAGTAATAAGTAGTATTACTTGTAAAAATGTTCCATTTGTTACAGGTCCCAAAAAGAATTTGACAAATTCAGTGGCGAATTGGGGGAAAGCCAAGGTGGCCTATATTGCGGATCAAGCATCATCCCTACAACAGGAATCAAACAAAAAGCTTCAAATTATGAAAATAGAGTCAGATAGGAGGTTAGAAATAATGGAAGACCAAAAGAAGCAACAGCAGAAAGAGCATGAAATAAGGGTGGAATTGATGGAAAAAGAACACAAAAAAAGGATAGAAATCATGAAAGAAGAGTTAGAGAAAGTAAAAAACGAAATAGATATTATGAAGGCAGAATCGAAACGTAGAATAGAGCTTATGAAATGAAAAAATAATATAAAAATAAATATTTAAAAAAATAAAATTATAAAAATTGAGTAAACTCATGTGTTTTTATTAGCCATCCTTTTTAACTGAATTTAAGATCATTTTTAATACTACTTAATCAAGATACTGAATATTTAGCAATGATGCTACATTAAATGGCATGCATTGTAATAATTTTGTTTATTTTATTACTTTTTATAAATAATATATTCAAAATTTTTGTTACAAATTGATTTCAGTTTATTTCTTTGTGGGGTAACAACTGTAAACATAAAATAAAATAAGCTGAGCTAAAAAATTCTTTTATTTATTTATCAATGAGTTATTTAAATACAGAGTAAGAACAAATATAATAAAAAATTTTATTAAATAAAATACACATACTCAGCATCATATATCAAGCAGTCCAAGACCCATAAAGAGCTGTAACACCATTAGGTGAAGAAAAAGAACTAGATTATATATCAAGATTATTATTATATTGAAGCCATTAATTTAAAATCCTTTAATAAAAAAAATATAGAGATCAAGCCTAAATATTTTATCTTTTAGACAATTTCAAAACTAGCCCCATTAAATTATACTGACATTCTGATTCACAATTATTTTTTGTTATGATTTCAATATTATCTGTTTAACAAAGAAGAGATCATTCAAATCAAAATAATTCAGCAAATTGAAACTCAATGTAAAACTCTTCTTCTTCTTTGAGTGCCTCTAATATCAGAAACTGGATATCATTATGGAGATTCTAATTTTATTAACTGTTGTTTTGAATAATTCGTTAGTGGTACAGCCAAACCACTCTCTTAAATTTCTCATCCAGAACATTCTTCTACGGCCTGGATTTCTGCGTCCTTGGATTTTTCCTTGCATTATATTTTGTAGGAACATGTACTTTTGTCCTTCCATCAGCTGGCCTAAGTTTTCTCTTTTCTATATTCATAATAACTTCTGGATCGATTATATTCTGTGTATTACCTTTTCATTTGTAATTTTATCCACCCAACTTATTTTTAGTATACAGTGGTAGTACCACATCTCAAAGCTTTCAAGATTTTTAATATTCCTCTGTTAAGAGTCCATGCCTCAACACTGTAAAGCAAAGTACTGAATACATAGCATTTTAACATTCTAGTTCATAGATGAATGCTAATGTCATGATTGTAGTAATAGGCCACATGGAAAAGAAGAAGAGGCGTGGCACCATGAAGTTAGACATGGAGGTTAGGTTAGGTTAAGATAAAAAGATGTAACGTGTATATTGTTAATCTTATAAGGTTTGTTCCTACAAAGAATCAGAAACTAGTTCAGGGCAGTTTCTGACTGCTGCACAATACGCATGTGCGAATTTAACCAGCCGCGAACTAGTTTGTGATTTTTGTTGGAACAATATCCTATCGAGCTGGCAAGTTGCCTATATTAAATAAACAAATTTTGTGTTATTTTATTCGCTGTAACAAAGTAAATTGTTTCTTCTTTAAAATGGAAAACAATGAGGAAGGTAAATCTTTATAATTATTATTATCATGCAGTTACCTATAATAAATACTAATTTGTTTTAGATATGGAAGAAATTATTATTTACCATGAAAACCATGTTGAAGATAGTAGTGTTAAAACTGTAGACTATGTGGTCTGGACCACCAATCAGTCTAAAGTATTAATAGATTTATATAAGAAATATAAACCTAAGGTTGGAACTCTCCAAATAAGAAATTTAAAAAAATTATGGGAGATTATAGCCAAGGAAATAAATAAAAATTTACATATAAATGTGTCCCCGTCGCATTGTGAAAATAAATGGCGTGTATTGGAAAGGGGATACAAAAAGTTCGTAGATAATCAGAATAAAACAGGTAGAGGACGAAAATTTTTTGAATTCAAAGATGAAATGGACAGTATATTCAAAAAAAAACGAAATATTCATCCCGAGATACTTCTATCTGCTACAAAAGTTATTGAAAATGTGTCGTTGACTTCAGATGTAGTTCTAAAGGAGACTGAAACTCAAGAAGTAGAGAATACTGACAGCCCAGTTCCAGTTACCCACACCGCTACATCTGCACCTAATACCAATACAAAGCATCCAATTCTAAATAGAAATAGAATATTGGAAAATATGAGAATAGAGAGAGCAGAATATTATAAGGAAAGGCTCAGTATTGAAAGGGATAAGCTAGTGGTTCATAGAGAAAAACTAGAAGAGATAAAAAGGCGAAATCTATTACTTGAGAAGCAAAACCAATTACTTGAGAAGCAGAACCAACTACTTGAAAAGCAAAACAAACTTAGGGAAAATCCATAAGATTAATTTATATGTATAGTATTGTTTTTCTGAATAAATATTTTGTTACTTTAACTGTAAAAATCATAATAATTAAAAAATAAAGTATTTTAAAATTTTTATTGTTCTAACAAATTTAAAATTTGATTTCGAACTGCAGCACCATTTCTGTCATCAGGTTCATCATCAGGATCATTATTGTCCAACTGTAAATCAGGTGCTGCTTCATTATTGCCTGCAGGATTGTTTTCATATAAAAATTCATCATTTAATGAAATATTATGCAAAACACAACTTGCTCTTATTAAATGTACACAATCAGCTATAGAGCGTAATTTAAGATGGTATAACTGCCTAAATTTTTGTTTGAGGACTCCTATGCAATGCTCTACTAAGTACCGGTTAGCACACAGTTTTGAATTATAATTTATTTGGGCCCTACTTAACTGCCCCCGGTCTCTAAAGGGTGTTAATAAATTGGGCAATACAGGATATCCACTGTCTCCTAATATATAATAATTTCCACATTTTTCTTGTAGTGTCTGAGACAATGGAGAACTGCGGAATACTCGACTATCATGTACAGAGCCCGGGTAACCAATAAATATGTCTCTGATTTGTAATTCATGGTCACATACCAATTGTAACTAAAACATAACATAGAATAAATACATTTTATTACTGTACAGTAAAGAAAATTACCTGAATCGAATAAAATCCTTTTCTATTTATGTAAGAATCTGGATCATCCTTTGGTTTGTCAATCTTGATATGTGTACCATCAATTATCCCAATTACACCTAAGAAACCATTCGTACGAAATACATTCTCAATTTTAACTTTTTCTTCATCGGTTGGCCATTTTATTATATGACTTGAGCAGTAGCTCAAAAAGTAAGTCACTTTTCGTATCACTCTAGACAAAGAACTTATTGTAATGTTGAAGCGGTCTGCAACATCTCTAAAACTAGCCGTTTGATGGCCTATATACCATAAAAAAATTAAAACTTGTTGCATTGCTGACAATTTACCATATGGTCCTGCATGTATTTTATAGTAGTCACTATTTTGAAACTGTTCAGCTATGGACTCAGTAACATGCCGACTTATTCGAAAATGCTCCTTAAACTCTGTTTCATTGTATTGGGAAACAGTTGTTTCAAAATAGTTTCTATTTTTAGGGCGAATTCTATCTTCCAATACAATTTCTTCCAAGTCATCACTGGAGTCGCTCATAGAGGATAATGACGAATATTCACTGTCACTCATTGTTTTATAAATTATCAAAAGTATAAAACACTAAAATACAATATTATGTATGTACTTAAAACAAAATTACCAAAACAAAGGTACCTATTTAAAATTAAAAATAAACAGTGTAGGTGTGAGTAAATCAAAATTCGACTAATTGCGCATGTCTGTGATTACCAGTTTGCAAAAAGTTCGGAAACTTTTCAAACTGTCAGGAACTAATTTCAAACTGGTTTTATATTTCATGGAACAGTGTACTTTGTTGACAAGGTATCAGAGAAAATCTTGTTGGAACGGCGAAATTATTATTGCGCATGCGTCTGACAGTCGGCGACAGTTTGAAACTTCTGTAGGAACAAACCTACTGTTTTATTAAATATAACATTTAATAAATACCGAGTATTATTATTACATGGCGCAGTCAGTACAAGAGCCAAAAGTACAGTTATCCAGAATGGAAGGAAAAGTGCCAGAATCCATGAAATTCGAGGGGAACCTTCATGAAAATTTTAGACGGTTTTACCAAAATTTTGAAATGTATCTTATTGCAACTGAGAAAGATGACAAAGCCGATAGAGTAAAAATTGCTTTGTTTTTAAATATGATTGGACCAGAAGGAGTTGATATATATAACATTCTCAAAATACCAGAACCGAATAAATTTGATAGTGTCATATCAGAATTTAAGAAATATTGTGCTCCCAGAAGAAATAAAACATATGAACGTTTTGTATTTAATAAAAGAATTCAAGCTGCAGATGAACCTTTTGATAGTTATCTTAGTGATCTAAAAAAGTTGATACAAAGTTGTGAATATGACAAACAGGAAGACAGCATATTGACAGATAGGTTAGTTTTAGGAACAAATAGTCTATCAGTTCAAGAAAAATTATTAAATACTCAAAAGTTAACGCTTGAAACAGCAATAGAGATATGCAGAAATTCTGAAATAACAAAAAAGCAGTTAGAATCTGTAAGAAACAATGAAAGTTTGGAAGTAAGTGCAGTAAAAAATAGACAAGACAGTAGAAATACACAAAGTGAGTTAAAATTTTTGTGTAGAAAGTGCAAACGTAAACATGTAGCTGCCCAGTGCCCAGCGTTTGGAAAGAATTGCTTTAAATGTGGTGCAGCAAATCACTTTAGTAATGCGTGTTTTGCTGAAATGTCCAATCAGCAAAGATATAAAAGGCAAAATGTTAAAAAAGTTAAAGAAATTAGAAGACATGACGAGAACATTGATGACTCTTCAACAGATGATGACATGCATGTGCATACCGTGAAAGGAGTTGGGGCAATCAATAGTAGAAGTCGTAATCAGTGGATTGAGGTAGTCAACATAAACAACCAAGACATTGAGTTCAAGATGGACACTGGATCAGAAGTAAATATATTACCCAGTGATATTTTAAAAGTCATATTCAGAAACAGTAAGTACAAAATTGAAAAGTGTAATACTATA